ATGACAAATTACATATTCAAGTGTTTCTAGCTGTCATAACAATGAACATTTATCATAGTTTGACTCATGAAAAATGATTCTAATTACATGATACTATAAAAATTAGTTTGGTTAAATTATTATTAACAGATAAAACTGTTTTTACTACCCATAAAATTATAGCAATATTACCGATTTCTTTCAATGGAGAGACAGTCAAAATAAATATTTCACCATCTAATTGGGGGTTTTGGTTATGATTACACAGGTAATACTTTCAATTGTTTTTAGAATTATAGAATAATAGATATGTTTGGGTTGGAAAAGACCTTTAAGATCCAGTCCAACTGTTAATCTAGCATTTCCAAGTCCACCACTAAACCATGTCTCCAGCTCCTTCAGCTGTTCCTCACAGGACTTGTTCTCCAGACCTTTCACCAGCTTCGTGCCCTTCTCTGGACACGCTCCAGCACCTCAGTGACTTTCTTGTAGTGAGGGGCCCAAAACTGAACACAGGATTCGAGGTACGGCCTCACCAGTGCTGAGTAAGTGGGGACAAGTCCTGCTGGATGCACTGTTTCATAGTAGTTTCATAGTAGTCTCCTAAGGAATTTATCTCACTATAATGGAAGAGCAGCCGTCTTTGTATATACTGCTGTCGTGGTTTAACTCCGGCTAGCAAAAACTATATCTCCGTCCTTGAACATACATCATTTACACGGATTCTTATAAGGAACGCAGCAGTATCTAGAAGGCAGAAGCAAGGGCAGCTAGAAGCTTGACAGAATCATGGAAAAAAAGACCTCTCTACATCATGTAGCTTTTGAGTTACTCATGTTATGGAATATTGTTTCACACTTGTATATAACCATTTGCAATTGCCATGTGGATATTTTAGAAGCAAATTCATTCCCACTGATAAAGAAACATATCCTCAACCCTCCCCCACCTTTCTATTTTGTAGTCTTGTTTAGGTTTCCGATTACATATGATAGGTACATGCTCAGCAGAGACCCAGCTGGCTGGAGGCTTCTGAGTAAGGGCCATGGTGTGTCCCTGACACGTGCCTTGAGACTTCAATCTCGTGTTGCTGTTACTATCTACAAGGCAAGAGTCCAATTAATATATTATCAGTAAGGGCAACTGTTCTCTAATGTTTTCCCAGTGACTCACTCACTCTGACTCTTTTTTTTTTTTTCCCCCTCCCGATCACTTCTGTTATATACGTATTTTTATCCTTTCCCCAAAAATACTTCTTTTAATGTACTGGCAGCCCAGCACATTACTTCTATGAAGTTGTGATTTCAAATAAGAACTAATTCTGGCTTGATAGTGTTGGTCAGTTAGAGGTGTAACCTTCAAATTTTTAGAATAGATTACAGAAATTCCAGATTAAATAATCTCTAATTTAAAAAAATTAAACTCAGATTAGTTTGACTTTGAGATGAAAGATTATTCAACTATTTCTTTAGAAATAGAGTATTTCTTTAAAAGGTTTTATTATGCAGATGAAACCATCTCAGGCATATGGGGTTACTGCTCATTGCAGTGGTTGAGGTGAGACAACAGAACTGATATTGTTGGGAAGAATGCTGAAGAGCTTTTAGTCTTAGAAAAAAGCATACATTGCTTGATGCCTGATAATTGAGGACAGTTATGTCATCTTCTAACATCTAACTTTAATTCAGTTAGTTTATAAATTTCTAGAATATGCTCAGGTCTTGCCAAACAGAACACAGTGCAGCAACCAGAAGAGTTTACATTGCTTTTGTCCAGCAACGAGAAGTTTGTCTTTTTTTGCTATATATGCACTTTTTAATTAAGACTTCACTGAATCAGTTAATAGGATTACAGACTTTTTTAAATATTAACAATTCTTTTTTTTTGGTTCTAACTTATTTAAGTTCTGCTTGGCATAACTGTTATCATGTTTGCTTTACTAGGGAGAGATTTAGAAAGAATTTACTTGTCAGTAATTTATGTCCTAACCATTTTCTCAGTAACCCTATCACTTTTATTTATTCTTCTCTGACATTTATATTCTGGCAATGTTAATTACAGAATGTTGAATAACATTCAGAAAATCAAACTGAATGTTAAGAGCAATTCGGAAAGGAATAGAGTATGAAAGAGGGAACATCATTATGTCAGTATGAATACTTGGTGAATCCTTATCTCGAATGCCATGTGAAAAGCTGATCACTCTCCCATCACTGAAGACTGAGAGGGGGAGGGATGACAGGGATGGTCAAAAACCTGGAACAAACGGGTGAGGAGATTAGAATTTCTCATTGCCTCAAGGACAGGACAAGGGAAGGGTGATAGAGGTCTGTGAAATCACAGAGAGGGGAGAAGATAAGTGAAGAACAATAATTTATTGCCTTCTAAAGTACAAGAATTAGGGATGTCAAACGATGAGGTAGCTAAAAATAAAAGGGGTGCATGCAAACTCTAAAAAATGACATGTGCTACAAAGGAAACATGAGAAGGTAATTTTAGAAAGTTTGACTGGTGGACATGCAAAACAAAGTGAGCCCCTTTTGATTAAGAAATGTGGGATCCTCAAAGGGTTGTAGAAGTTCTACAATATGCTTGTCTTGGTCTTGTGCTGGCCTCACTGTTCTGTAGGCCACCACTGTCAGCTGCCTTTGTAGACAGAATATTAGGTGATCTGATACCTATTCTTATGTTTCATACATCGATTTTAAATGTTTGGAGTTTGTTTGTTGGGTTTTTTTTTTTTAATGTAGAAGACTTCATGAGCTGAGCATGGTTTACTTCAGTTTTTGGTCACAATTTTATGGCTGCAGAGGCTGCAGTATTTCTTCATGTGCTTCTCTAGGCAGATTTACTATTACTAGGCTTTTGTCAGTCTGACTTATTCTTAGAGAAACTTGCATGTAAAAGACTTAAATTGAATGTGATTTTTTTAGTCACTGCTTGGGTAAATAAATATTTGCTTTTGTCTTTTTTACAGCAGACTTAGATGGACAGAATGGTAGATTCTAGATTTAGATGGTAGAAATGCCTTTTTTTCCGAGGTAGAAAGGAATCTTCTTGTCCTGCAGTTGCACTTCAGGCACTTCGATGCCTCCACATTACACAGTGCAGTCTAGGGAGAAATATTTTCTACATTTATTGTTATAAAAAGGCAGGAGAGTTAACAGAGCTGTTATTTATAAATTAAAAGTTTTTTAAAGTCTTCTCTAATTTAAACTTAACTTTTCAACTCCTGCACATTTATTCTAGTAATAAAGCTGTGTGTTTGTAAACTTCTTGATTTCAGTTTCACTCTTCGTAATATCCATACTTCATTTTATGGAAGTGTTATTTACATGATTTTTTAAAAAAGTGCATTTTGTTTGGTTTTGTTTGGGTCCCCTCCACCCCCCACCCCGGAATTTTTACTTTTTTTCCTGCAGGAATAAAGTTCTGTTAATCTCATTCCAGAAATAAGATGGCTTAAGTTTAAGAAGTTGTATTTGGAGCTGCAGTACAAAACTTCTTCCAATTCCTTGTTATGTTTTTAAAGTCCACTAGCTGGAACTAGTTACCAGTAAGATTGCTAATGCAATCTGACTAGACATAAACATGAAAGAGTAAAAGAGGTAGAGATGCAATCATATTCCTTTTAGGCATGTTTTTTGAACACTAATCTTGTGTTGTTTGCTAGTACATACTAATTTTATTTTTACAAAAACATCTTAGTATTCTTTTTTGTATGGTTTTTTTCCCTGTTAATTGTTTCTAGTTTTCATTTTCAAGTTCTTTATTCAGTGGTGATTTAACCTAGGATTTAAAATTTGGTTCTACTGAAGTCATCAAGTAGAATTTTGAAGTGAAGCTCCTGTTGCTGCCATCTCAACCCTATCCTTCAAGAGGTTTGAGTAATTACCAGATTGTGAACTCTCATAAAAATCAGGTCACAACACAATGAGCAGGAAAACCAGCAAAATTTTGGTAGTGTAATGATCCACTGACAGTATAAAGAATTTACCTAAGGAAGGGACTGTTATCTACAGTCATAGTTTACCTTAGGTAATATGAGTTGTTCTTGTTGAAAAAAATTTTTCTCCCACATCCTGTTCTAGTCACCACATTCTTCAATCCTTTTCTGAGTAGTGCTATGATAATATCTAAATGTCAGGGTGTTTTCTGGCTCTTTTCATTTTTTATTTCATATTTGATTTGTGTTCAGTGCTTGACTTTGCCAGACATCCATATGTCCAATGTAAGAAAGATGTGGAAATATGTCTTTGCCCATGGAATTACTTTCTGCTGGAATTTAAAAAGAATAAACTGCAAATCAAGAAAGTCTAGTGAAACTGTATAGTATATTCTTATTCATATTATAAAGCGGAGACAGTCTGCTTGATTGGACAGTTTAATGCACCAACAGAACAACTAATTCCTTTTTTCCCCCTCCCTCAGCATTTGCTAGTGATGTGAATTCACTATATGTTTTGCTGTTAAGACACCTTGCACCATTATTGCTGTTCACTCAATACAGAGCATTCATCTTCATTCACAACCTGGGATTCTGCCATCAGAATGTAGGTGGCCTATCTTTAGCTTTCTGACACATAATATAAACATATTGTAAAACCATCCCAAAAGAGAAAATAATTGCAGTGGTTAATGTAATTGTCACTTCCATGAGATATAATGAAAAAAACTGAATAAGAGACATCCCTGGAATTAAAACCTAGGAAAGCAGGTATGGCAAGACCAGTTATGTTAGAGCTTTTGCTAAATACAAAGTTATATAGCAAATAATACAAATAGAAAGATATTTCCATAACTTAGCAAGAACTATGTTACACAAAAACTTAAAGAAACAAGAGATTGTATCTTCTAGCATGCAAATAATTCTTCCAGTGTGTTCCAGTTTGGATTTCAGCAGAATGTGGTATTTAACTTGCTGAATTTCAAACCCTGCTAGCCAGAGTTATTGAACCTGTTTCTTTTCCTGTGTCATCTGAGAAATATCTCTCTTACCTACTTAATTTTTTGCATTTCAGGAATCTTATTCAAAGAAGAGAGGTTATGCATTGGAAGCAATACCCTCTCTACCTCTGGATGCAGTTCCTTCAGAAAATGACAGCAATCTTTGTGATTCGATAGACATAGCAGTGACCAAAAAACCTTGTTCCCTAGAGATAGCAAGAGTTTCTTCTTCAAGACCAGGTAAATCACTAAATAATCTTTTACATAGTCTTTGGTGTAACTGCAAAGTTACAGAAAGTATGCAATTCTATATAGAAGGTATAGGTTTATGTTTTTTAAGAAATACAGTACTCTGTTTACTTATCACAGCAGTATTATAGTCTTCTGTTAGCTACCGTAAGAGCTTAATATCAGAATAAAAATTGCTAGCAAAATGCTGTGGAAGGAAATTCAAAGCAGAACTTGAAATTATTTTCTAGATAAATATAAGAAGATTGCAAAAAGCCAAATTAGAAATCGAATTTCTTTAAGCCTAGCCTTTTGCAGTAATTCATTTACCAACCTGTTTCTGTTTTATAATGAAGTACTTAGCAACAACATTATACAACTAATTCAAAATTAAAAGTGCTCTGTATTTTCATGTTATATAAAGTAAGATGTTCTCAATTTTTGAAAATGAAATGGTGAATGAGAACTGACAGAAATATTAAATGACAGTCTGGCCAGCCGCTGTTGGTATTATACAGGTTTAAACAGCAGTGGGTTACAGTTGTTAAAAAACAATAGAATAATGCTGAGTCAGATGAATCATATTATCTGTAAGGATTCTGTTTATGTTCTCCAAAATTGTATGTTTTCTCCCATTACTCTTGTTTGAACTCTTCATTAGTCACCACCTGGTATGGGAATTTCAGAATATAATCATTCCACTACACGTAATTAGACTGAAACTCTGCTTTGACAAATGACAGTTTTCAGCAGCACAGACCTATTTGAAATGGGCAATTGACTTTTTGACTTGTGCAATCTTGATTATGAATCATGATTGGGGAAATATAGAAGAATGAAATATGACTGTTGACTAACATCATGTTACCTAACTAGTCTGTGTAAGGGGAAGCACCTTCTTGATTTCACAGCTGAACTAGTATTGGAAGAGCACCAGAGCTTTATCAGACATAGTATAAAAGGACCAGTTATCGTGATACAGCTTTGATTTGCAAGGTGAGGTAGAATGGGTCATAGTTCTCACCTCTCCATAAACTCTGGGCTAAAGAAGGCTTGAGGGAACCTGCATTACGGACAGTGACCTAAGAGGTGGCACAAAATAGAATAGCATCTTTATAACATGGTTGCACAGAGTGGACCAGAATCTGACTTGAACATCAGCATGACTACTTGTGTAACTGAAGGTTTACTCTGTTGATGGTTTCTTGGCTCTAAAATACCACACTTTGGAAGGGTTCTGTCTGCTGAACGTGGGCTTTTTTCTTAGGCATAGTAAGTCCATTAAGATCAGTATGAAAAACAGATCCTAAAAAAAGAAATTTTTAGGTCTTAATCAGGAAATATATTTTGTGTATGGTTAAATATGGTGTGTGTCGAAGGCCCAGAGAATAACCAAGGAATCTGTAGGACATTCATGAGGGCACCCACCATATTTATATGACCTAACAAGGTCAATGCGTTGACAGTACAAATGTACTGTAATTCCTTCTGTCTTAGTTTACCATATACCACTATGATCTTTTCCTTGACATTTTATTGGGAAGAACATTTGGCTGTATAGATAAGCAGATTCCAAAATGTGATTTTATTTTAAGCTATAAATGTAATAGTTATCTAACTGGCCTGCTTGTAAGCCATATCTGTGTTCATGTTGGCTGTTATCTTGTAATATAAATGTCCCAAATTAAATCAACCATGTCACTCACAGTTATAAGGTACTTAAAACTACACATAATTGTATGTGAATGTAAGCCTGCTAGTTCAGTTCATAAAGATTTATTGCTTAAGTTACGTATGATCACAGAGATAATTAATTTAAAACAAATATCTAATTTGCATGAATTTTTTCCTTGAATTTCCCTGGTTTTGTATCACTGACACATGCTGACTTTGGGAATACTCTTTCAAATTGCCATACTGTCATATGTAGAGTTCATTTCAGAGCATGAGGCAGCACTTTGAACATAAAATTGCATCTGTCAGTCTCCTTTCCCTAGGTGGTAGGACACTGATTGACTCTCCCCACTGTCTGGGGCATTCCTACCTCTTGGTAGTAGAAGTGAGACTGACTGCACTCAGAGATTGAAAATTCTTCTTTCCTATATTGAGAGGAAAGGTCATTCTGGCTGGCCTTTCAAGCTGTAGAGCTGCATGTTGTAACTATTATCTGCCCTGCCAGTAAACTCCTAAGAAGTTGGAAATAGTCACCTTGTCAGTCATCATACTCTGATCTGCTACAGAAAAAACTAGAATGCTCTGTAGTTCTCCATGTTATTTTTAATCCACTGGATCTTATTCTTTAACTGTTAGGGAATAGCAAAGAATGAGAACTCTAGAGCTCCATGCATGAAATGGTAAAGACTGTTAGATGTAAGGGAGAAAAATTGAACAGAAATGAAATAAGTGTAGTTGTAAAGTTGGTTAGTTATGTTTCTGAAATCCTGTATTGTGTGAGTTTTGTTTCTGTTTGCAAAAAAAAAGTTTATATAGGAAGAAGAGCAGTTACATTATTGGTTCATGCTGGCAGTTAAAATTGCTTCTGATTAGGACTGATCTAAGAGTAACAAAGACTGCATGTGTACCTCAGTTCAAGTTAAGCTGTTCTTTGTTTCTGCACTAGACTGATAGGCCAAGGTTGGCAGCATGTTAGCATCTCCATCTCGGTATCTCTGCTTTTCAGCTAACAGTTAAGACCTGATAGGAATATTCTGAAATGCTGCACTCCAAGACAAATTTTTCTGCTAAGTAAATATGAATTTGTATTTAAAATTTCAGAAATCAATTTAAAAAAAAATAATGGAGTTGATTCATGAATCAATCTTACTGATCTCACTAATCTTTCTGTCGAGCTATTCCAGAACAGTATCATCATTCCTTAAACTACACATTTCTACTAGTCATTTTAATGTAAAAATTACACTTAAAAAAGTTAAAAAAAGAAATCACATGACATTTAACCTTGAAAAATAACCATAAAATTTCATTAGTTGATAATGCATGCATTAGTATTGCTTTTTTGATCTCAAGTATGTATTTAAATTTTGTGAACTATAGCAACAAATCATCTTGGAAAAGGTGTAAACCCTTTAATAAATGGCTGAAGCTCAGTGCACTGGGTATTTCTAATGCTAAAGTAGACATTTTCAAGTATCTTCATGAAGTTAATATGGTTTTGATCAGTTAGCTAGTGTCTACAATACTGGTAGCAAAAGTTTAGGTGCAGCACCATGCTGCATTTGGGCCTGTACAGTTGAAGACATTTACAGACTTACCTTGCATCTTGAGTAGCTTGGACATTTTGTACCATATTCCATCCTTGCTCCTTATAATATCATACACTATATTTAGCAGAAATATTGAATGAAACCTGAGCTACATTACAGAAGAAATTTGAATAAATGTATTTTTTTCACTGGAGATTAAGTGTGTGTCCATACCAAAGAGATACATTGTATCTCTTTCAGTCTGTCTCTATAGTTTCTACTGAAGATACTCCCTTAGGAGTGAGACCAGGTGGCAGTCTACATGCTGATTTTTATTATAATAGTGAATGATGGCCAGTACTACTTAAAATATTTTTAGGTCTCATTGAGTCTCATTAGGAATTAGGGAGGACTTTTCAAACTTCTTTTCATGAATAACTGGGTTAAAAAAAAAAAATCCTTCTTTGAGAAAGTTGATCTGTCCATGCAGTTTAATGTAGGTTTTAGTACAGCATCTCAGTAACAGGAAGAGACATGGCTGTCTGTAAACGGCATGAAAATCATCCTTGGATAAGGGAGTTCTAGTTCAAGGACCTATTTTTTTCCAGTTAGGTTACTTTACTGTGGCTGCAGGCTGGGGAGACTGTAGTGATCCATCTTCAACTCTGGAAACAGCTCAGCTGTAGCAATGCAGAACTCAGTGTGGGCTGCAAAATCACCTAAGAAATAAGGTACTTAGGGGCTTCACTCATGCTGAGTTCTCAGCCACACCCCAGTCAGCAATTCCCAAGTCAGCTATTTTAAAGATAGCTCTGGTACAACAACGCTACCCGGTTACATCTAAAGGTATGGCTTCTGTCAAGGGGATAAAGATGTGTTAGATATGTGATGTGTTGCCTCTAGCCTGTAGTAGGCAAACACAAGGAGAGGAGTTGAAAGAAAGGAGGAAATATCTTAGCAGCTTTTCTGGCCATCTACCCCAGCTAAATGTACTTTGGAGAAATCTTGCTGCTGTCAGTCATGATGGTTTTGTTCTTTAGAAAAAATACTTAATTTGCACGTAAATGCCAGTAACTTGTAAGGAGGACCATGTAAGATAATAAATCTGTAATTAATGGTACCTTTTTCTTATAGACTCATAATCACAGCAGGGAAATCAACAATAAAGACTTGTCACTGAATTATTACAACATATCAAACTGCCCCCAGGCTGGCCTATCTACTGCAACGTTAGGTATTTTTTGCTTTCTCAGCCTGGCATCCCTCTCCCGTCACGACAGTGGAAATGAACCTGAAAACTTGTAACCATTGTGTTAGCTCACCGCTGCTTGCATTCTTGTGCCTACTGTGTAACCCTGTGTCAGCAGTCTCATATGAATATCTAGGAGACAGCTCTGTAGAAACCTGAATTGAAAAATAGCCTAGCTATAACACTTTTATCAAAATTAAAATATTAATCTTTTACATAATTTGCCAATCATTAAATACTTGGCTTAGGAAATAAAGTGCTATTTGTTAGACCATCAGTTTCTGACCGAGTTCAGTAACAAATCCTTACAGCACCTATCCTGAATATTTGGACATTTCATTTCTCCACATTAAGGCTAAGTCAGAAAATGCATCTTTTCTTGTTTAATGAATTTATACATTTGCTTTTGTGCTTTTATTACATTTGCATGGTGCACTGGCACAAGCACAAGACAGGCACTCCGTCAGCATAGCTCAGGCAGGAGCTAAAGGCCCCAGGCTGAGCCAAAAAGTTGCCTCCGGGAAAGGGAATTTGAATGGACAACCTCAGAAGTCTGGTCA